GTAACGACCATGATGATGGTGCTGCTACTTTTGGTAGTGGTTGTTATCGCAGTTGTGGTTGTGACCATCCTTGTTTGTGCCCAAATTGTGCTCCCATCCTGGTGGATATCTACGTGGCTATGTGAAGTCCTACCTCAGAACTGACATTAAAGGCATTGCACAGGTAGTTGCCTATTTCTTCCAGTCCCACCAACAGCTATTCTCCCTTTCAAAGAACTCATTTTCATTCTTCCTTCTTAATTCCCATATAGTAGTGTTTGAAGACATCGGCGCATTTTGAAGCTTCCGATCCTCTCAAAGGGAACTTTGCCTTCAATACGGAGCAGATCCACCGATGAAGATGGTTTTGTGCCTTCGGCGCACGCATCAGTCAACACTGAGGGCTTTTTCCACCCTGTCCCTGCAAGACATCCATCACATTCGTTGCTTTCCTTTACCGAAGAGCCACAATGTTAAGTAGCCAGGTCACCGAACAAAATACATAATTGATTTCGGGTAAAGAATAGGGCATAAGAGGTTTTTGACTCAACCTCGTGCAAAGAGTTAGAAAAACACCTCACCTCTGTACACCCGAGTCCCCTGAGATTAACTTTTTTACTATGTATTCTCAGGCTCTCCCTTTCTACCATGGTAAGGAGAGAAATCTTGATATATATTCCTTTCTACTTCATTCTCGTAGAAGATTTATGAGCACTGTGACCTCATATTCAACGGTCCTATTGGTTGGAATGAGAGATGTATTGAAGGCAGTAAAAAAAAAATATTAACTTTCACCATCGACTTATAGGAGAATATCTGGTGTGTCTAAATGCATCATTTTCAATGGCTAAAGCTGGTATGACTTACAGTACGTTTTCATAAGAAGGCCAACTTGGTGTAGAGGTCAAAGGTGAGTCTAACAAGGGATTAGTTTGGGCTTTTCCCTGATTTGCTGGTTAAAAGTCATGATGTGTACATTGTGATAAGAAGTAAGGTCTTTTTTCACGAGAAAAAATAAGCTTTTAGCGAAACAAAACACTTTTCCTGTAAGATAAGCGTCCAATCAGTGTCTTCCCACGTAAGCTAACCAATCATTAGTCAAGCACCAGTAGGAGGTTAACGGATATCCACCTTTCTAACTTACTCAAAGACGACTCTGCAAGGGAGAGTTTTTCGCCCTTACTAAACACGTCTGATAGGTTGCTGCCTCTCCTCCGTGCAGCTCGTTTGCCACTTCCACAGGCGCCCTCATCTGGAGATGCCAGTCAACTTTCCACAAAGGATACGTCAAATGGCAGACTCAACTAGCCAGCTGGTCATTCAATACAGTTTTGAACCTAGCTACAGATGTCTGGATCCCTCTTAATTATTTGCCCAAAGGAAGTACCTCACTCATTGACTCTCAATCACCTTTGTTCAGCCCAATTATCATGATTTGCTTTCGATCCATTACTATATTATTTGTTCATCTTTTTTAGGAAAGTAAATATAATTTTGTCTTTGCTTAAATCTTAGAAAAAGAACATTCCCTTATAAAAAAGCTCATGAGATTTGATCAGACAGTAGAAATATATATGCAAATATGACTACTATGCAGTTAGGACTTAAACCGGATAATGATTAATTTTATACTAATTAATAAGGGATG